ACAAAAGGAGAAGTAAGACCTCCACGTTTTGGCCTACCACAGGGATTTAGCACCACATAAGTTGATGCGCGTGTTAGCTTTGCAATGGGTCTCGTTGCCTGGTGCAAATCAGAAATCTGTCAAAGTACCAGCAGCCAAAATGTCTTGTGCGACTGGCAGCTGCTTGGAAATCCTGTGATGCAGTAACTGTGAGTCAGTATAAGCCTGGTGGCTGGTTTCCCTCACAGTGGGCTTTTACACAATATACATTATACACATTAAATTCAGGTCCACCTCATTGTTCTTATTTCAGACTCACAAGCAGCAGTATTGACTCTTATAAATGATAAATATTGAAACAGCAGCATCAGTTGGCTGAAGCTGTGGTTTGTTTTAAAGGTTTGTCAAAAACATATTTTTGTAGGCAGCATTTTCTTAAACATTCTTCTTAATCATTCTCTGCTTGTATTAAATTATTCTGGGCACGTCTCCTTTATGTGAGTATGTATGTAGGTTCACAGATTTGGAATGGAGAGCATCGAAGTCTTTTGTCAGCAAGTTATAAGTATGCAAAGACCTTGACTGTTACATTTCTTCTTAACTATATGATGTATGTGTTTAATTATGCTGCAGGGATGTGTGGACTTAAAGAATGAAAAACAGCAGACAGGATGTTGATAAATTTGCCCCTTTGTAAACTAACTAAATCACATAGTTCTTAGAAGTTCACTATAGAAGCTAAACTACACTGTATGTGCAATAATAATAAACATTAAAAGGTGAATATACAGTGTTTGTGCAGTACTGTGAAGAACTCAGTACACCTATACTACTTCTAATAAGAAGCAGCTAGGTGCTGCTAATCATATATACTTGATTAATTGAGAATTTCTATAAAAGCAGAACATTTAGCACGTTGTTGGAGAAAGGAGAGAAAGCCTCTTCCCCTTGAAAAAGAATGTGACAGCACAGCTTTAGTTTAAAATGTTGCACCTGAACGAACCACGAGCCCTCTGGAAAAATGTCCAGGCGAGACCAAAGTGCAGATGTTTGGCAATAATGCACAGCACCGTGTTTGAAAAAAACTAACAAAAACAAATGCAGGATATCACCACAAACACGTCATACTAGCTGTTGAGCACGGTGGTGGAGTGGTGATGATTTGGGCTGGTTTCATAGTAGGGCTGAGTATCGTCACGGATTTCTAGAATCGATTCGATTCCGATTCGCAAGGTCCCGAATCGATTCGATCCACGATTCGATTTGATTTGATGAACATTACCTGATGCTGCTGAAGCGAAGCAGAGAAAAGTTACAGAGGTTTTATTGGAGACACAGCTAATCATTTTGCAATTTTGCATAATTTTAAAAAGTTTAAATTTGTTCAGTAGCCTATTGAACAGCACAAATTAGGCTTTCTTTTCAGAAGTAAGTAAAAGTGAAAAAAGGCAGCTGCTGACAGCGCTGTAAATAACGGTAGATTTGTGCGTAACAAGCAAGCGAATAATGCAGAAAACAGATTTTTAGACGGGAAACTGTTCTTGAAGTATACAGAGAGAGAGAGAGAGAGAGCTGTGCGTGAAGTGTGGTGGAAGCAAAAGAGCAAACATCAGAGGGAATTCATGACGATGTTTATGTGAAGCGTAGTTTGGATCTTCTTTTGCAGCTGGTTCGGTCAATAATGTTTGGAGAGAGATAAAACTAACAGCTTTAGAACCAGCGCAAAAAAGGCGTAAACACAAAGCGCGGACCTGCCGAAACATCAGAATCAGCGAGCTGTCGGCTTTCAGCCCCGACCGTGTCCGTGCCGTCAGGTGAGAAAGGCGACATCTCACTGATTCTGATCCGTCGGCGGGTCCACGCTTTGTGTTTACGATCTTGTGCAGAATCCGTGTACCTGCTCTCATTTACTGTTTTAGCTGTTTGGTGGTTCTTGAAATTTTGTGAGGTTTAACCTGAGATTCTGGCATTTCGGGCAAAATAAATTAATATTAAAAAATCAATTCAGGATTTTAATGAATCGAAATCACGTTATCCAAGCCAGAATCGATTTTAATCGATAAATCGATTATCAAAACCCACCCCTATTTCATAGCTACCTGGCACCTGGGTGCCCTGTTTAGGACAACAACAAACAATGAGTGACTTTTTTCTGTATAGTCCTTAGTTATGACAAGTTAAGAATACCTTCATCTAGTGGGATGTTTTGAAAAAAATAGCGTTTTTATGTACAGATTGTGATGATTGAATTATGTGGCTGATTTGTAATTTTGGGGTGTTTATAAGTTATTAACCTTTGTTTGCAAATCTTGGGAAAAACATCAGGTTGGATTGTTTATGGTGCTACTGTGGCTCTGGCTTCTTGTTATTTAGGTTTCCATGTCACAATAATAAAATTAACAAAATGAATTGTGCATGCTGACGTATGTATACAAGTATAAAAGGTTAAATTTTATTGCAATTTAGAACACAAAAAAAATCATTTATGCTTTAAAAGGTTTATTTTTAATTTTCTTTGATTATATTTTAGCCTATTTGGTGGACAGTGCAGAGGGTAGACAGGAAGGGGGTGAGAGAGTGAGGGCGAATGACACATGGGAAATCTTCTGTCTCGAATTGCCATAAGGTCCCTAGCCTTTAGTGTCCGGGTCGCTAGCTCAACCAGGTGAGTTACAGTGGCGCCCCAGTTTGTGAAGCACATTGTAACTGTGTGTTTTAAAAGTACTGTACGAACAAAGTTCTTGTTAGAATGATTACATATTTTGAGCACACAGTAAATTATAATGTCACACGCACCTTAAATGAGCACATGTGGCTCATATCTGCCTGTACGATCCCTGAATCCAGCCAATTATCCCACATTTGATCCGGATATTCCTTCCATCTTTGAAAGTTCCTTCATCCCTTCATGTTTTTACCTCTTTCCATTTGCCCTCGGCTCTTCCTGCACAGCAGAGAAGAGAAGAGCAGAGATCTTTGACGCCTCAAGTCTGGATGTGTCTGTGAGAGAGCAAGAGAGAGGGAGAACGTCTGCTTTATGCCGAACGAGGACGTGAATGATGACACGTGTCAAGTGTGCCGCATTATGAACGTGACTTTGTGGTGTGTGACTGCATCGCTGTGTGTGTTATAGCCTGCCTTCAGTCTGACACTTTACAGCTCTCGAAGTGAGAGAAAAAATGTGTTTGCCTGGATACTTCATTTAACAGCTGCCATTTCTACTCCCACACAGCTATCACATTGGCAGCGCGCAGACACACACACTGCCATTCGCAGAGCTGTTAGCCGAAGTGTTGGAGAGTGATGGGCGCTCAGTGGAAGCTGTGTTGAGGTCTAATGATTCAGGACAATTTATTGTTCCCATAAAGTGTTATAGAGCTCTCTGAAGCACCTTTACTTTTCAAGCCAATTCCTAGCTGCTTGTTTGAGTCTCTTCTTTCAGACTTTGTTGTCATCTCCACAAAATCAGCCTAAACCTAACACACAACATTTGGGGGAATTAGCTGAATTCTAGTTCCTTATTTTCCCAGAGCATACCTGTTAGATTTATTTGATACCCTCCAGGCAATCCATAATTTCAGTTCAGTCAAGACCCCTGTAGACAAAAGAAGATTAATATTTATGACTGGAGTAATTCATTTTTTGGCAGCTCTGTTCTGGGACCTTGCCACCCTTCATTATGCAGACAGTAAAAACTGGTGATGGGGAGGGCATCAGCAGGAGCACAGAGAAGATCAAGCATCATTGACAGCAGATTTCAGATTAAGTCAGATAAAGCGTGAAAGGAGGATGTGGGGTTATTTATGCAGCACCAATTCACAACAACAGTCCCCTCAATGTGTTTTATATTGTAAGGTAAAGACGCTACAATATTAGATAGAAACCCCAACAATCGCATGACCCCCCCATGAGCAAGCGCTTGGCGACAGAGGGAAGGAAAAACATCCGACAGAAACAGGCTCAGGGAGAGGCAACGTTCTGCCACGACCGGATGGGGGTGAAGGGAGGAAGAGAGGACAAAGGACACACTGTGAGAGAGTGATAGAGATGAATAAGAACTAATGATTAACTACAGTAGTGGTGTATGAATACACAGAGAGTGAAAAGCGATGAGTGAAGAAGAAAAGCTCAGTGCGAGGAGCCTGATTCAAAGTAGAGGGGCCTGATTCTAGAGTACAGGAGCAGTCTGAGACCAAAGTGATCTTTTAGGATAATATGGTGCTACAAGGTCTTTAAAATATGATACGGGCCTGATTGTTCAAGATTTTATATGTAAGGAGAAGGATTTTAACATCAGTTCTGGATTTAACAGGGCGACGATGCTAATTTGGGAGGAATGTGCTGTTTCTAGTCTCTGTCAGTACTCTCACTGCAGCACTCTTGATTGACTAAAGGGAGGGACTCCCCCAGGGAGTTTTTAGAGAAACCTGGCAGAAGTGGGTTGCAAAGTGGCTTCCACACTAAAGCAGTAGGCCCTATATTAAATTTGCCACCTGAATCTATAAGAGGGTATCAGCTGACATGAGTGGGCGTTAAAATTATTTTATCTGTGGTCACTGCTGGGCTTGACTGCATGCCCTGATTGAACTAACGCTGTGCTCAATTTCTTGTCAGCACAGCACATAAATCAGTTTGAGAGTTGACACTTAATCAATATAGGCAATCCCCCAGTTCCAATGATTTATGGTTATTCACTCACAAGAAAGAAGTTTGAGGAGGTTCCCACTGTTTTCCAAAAATCAAATTTCCATCTTACAAACGGCGGTAAAAGTGCTGAAATGGAGCGTCCTCTGATCTAAGCTACCTGTCAGTAACGCTGCTGCTGAAGGGTCTTTATTGAGCTCACTAAGATTTACGTGATTCCTCTGTCACACTGTTTTACTCTCAGGTTTTCTGGAACTTCGCAGTTCACAGATTGAATTTGTGTATTTTTCCGCACAGGTTTTGTGAATCACACTGGATGATTAATAAAGCGCCTGAAACATAAACGCATATGTGTTTCATTTTGTGCTGTGCTATAGGCAGGAGTGTAAGAAGCTACGTGAGGAGCTGAAAGAGGAGCACGAGGAGGACAAAAACTCAGCCTTGGCTCAGCTGGCGCAAAGCAAGGAGCAGGAACTGAGCAATGCCAGGGAGAGCTGGCAAAGGAAAGTGGAGGACCTGCTAGAACAGGTGAGGCTCTTCCCAATGGGAGCACAAACACTGCCGCCCATCCTTCTGTTCACTTTACTGTCTCTGTGCAAAACACTAAAAGGGCACATATTGAAATGTTAAGTGAATTTTAGTGTTTATGTTGTGTTTTGGGAATTCAGGAAGTAAATATTGGTAGATTTTGAAAGACTAAAGTGACTTATTCAGACATATTCAACCTGTCCTTGGCCCACGCTGTGGTACCGGCCTGTTTCAAATCCACCTCCATCGTCCCGATACCCAAAAACTCCAACCCATCTTGCCTCAATGACTACCTGTTAGGATGCCTGGGTCGTTGACCCAGGGTTTTGAGTTTATTATATTATTTATACTTTCTAGTCTTTGGTTTCTTTGAGTTCTGTCTTATGGTTTATGTCTCTGTCTTCTTTAGTTGCTCTGTCTCCCCTATCACCTGCATCCCCTTGTCTAGTTCGCGTCTCTGTGTATCCTTAGTTGCTATATCCCCGTGTCCAGTCAGTGTCTGTGTCTGCCCTGGTCCCACGTCTCTGTTCCCTCTGTTACAGTGCGTGCGAGTCTGTGTCTTTGTTCAGTCTGTGTTATGTGTTTCCTGTTTTACTTTGAAGGTTTCTGTCTTATCTCAGTGTGTTCAGTTTACGCTTCTTTGGTCTCGTCAGTTCTGATTTGCCCCAGCTGTGTTTCCCTCCTGTTACTCATTCCCTGATTGCTCCCTCTGTGTATTTAAGCCCTGTGTTTCTCTGTGTCCGTGTCGCGATCTACCGTTTATTTTGCTGTGTGTTTTGCCAGTCCACCGGTGTTAGTTTATTTTCAGTTTTTCCCAGTTATGTTATGTTTGCGTTCAGCATTAAAGCTGTTTTGGTTTAAGTTTGTCTCCGGAGTCTGCACCTTGGGTCCTATTCCTGTTTGCACACAGCCGTCACCTAACACTACCGCCCAGTAGCACTCACCCCCATCATCACTAAGTGCTTAGAGCAGCTGGTCCTAGCACACTTCAAATCCTGTCTCCCTCCCCACCCTGGACCCCACCAATTCGCATACCGCCAGAACAGGAGCACAGAGGATGCAGTCTCCATCGCACTGCACTCTGTCCTCTCACACCTGGACAACAACAACACCTACGCCAGAATGCTGTTTATAGACTTCAGTTCAGCATTCAATACAATCCACCCCTCACAACTCATCAGGAAACTGACAGACCTGGGCATCAGTTCCCTCATCTGCAAATGGTTACTGGACTTCCTGACCAACCGCCCCCAACATGTCCGGCTGGATAACCACTGCTCATCTACAATCACGATGAACACCGGTGTACCACAAGGCTGTGTGATGAGCCCTTTCCTCTACTCCCTCTTCACCCACGACTGCAGACCTGCTGATGGTTCCAACACCATCATTAAGTTTGCAGATGACACCACGGTGATTGGCCTCATCAGTGACAACGATGAGGCCGCCTACAGGGAGGAGGTGGATCGTCTGGCTGAGTGGTGCGACAGAAACAACCTGCTGCTTAACACCGAGAAGACCAAGGAGCTCATCGTGGACTACAGGAGGAATGCTGACCCACATCCACCCATCCACATTAAGGGGACGGCTGTGGAGCGTGTGAGCAGCTTCAAGTTCCTGGGAGTCCACATCTCCGAGGATCTCATCTGGACGACCAACTGCTCCAAGCTGGTCAAGAAGGCTCACCAGCGCCTCTTCTTCTTGAGGACTCTGAGGAAGAACCACCTGTCCTCAGACATCCTGGTGAACTTCTATCGTTGCACCATCGAGAGCATCCTGACCAACTGTATAACAGTCTGGTACGGGAACTGCTCTGCCTCGGACCGGAAGGCGTTGCAGAGGGTCGTGAAAACTGCCCAGCGCATCGCCGGAGCACCACTTCCTGCCATAAAAGACATCTACAGGAAGCGGTGTCTGAAAAGGGCTGGGAAAATCATCAAGACCCCAGTCACCCATCACATGGACTCTTCACCCTCCTGCCCTCTGGGAGGCGCTACAGGAGCCTCCGGACTAAGACCACCAGTTACCGGAACAGCTTCTTCCCCACAGCTGTCAGACTCCTGAACTCTGCCTCCTGACATCTGACCCACGTTAACACATGGACTGAACATACACACACCCACAATGGACAACTGTACCCTCAAACACACAATAATAACATGGACTGAACCACCACTCACAACCACTAGCACTTTATATAGCCTCTGTAGAAACTAGCTACACCCTCACTTATCTTAACTGCACTAATGTATAGCTCTGTGTAAATTATCATTCTGTACATTCGATAATTTTTAACCCTACAACTGTTTACAACTTGCATAGTTCCCATTTCTGTATAGCTGTATATCTCAGATTTCTGTAAAGTTATTTATTTCATATTCTGTATAGTTTTTCATATTTATATCCTGTTCATAGCCTGTACATAGCTTGTACTCACTACAGCCTGTACATACTTATAGTTATAGCATATTCATAACATACTTCATACCGTGTACATTATAACATACCATAATAGACTCATTTCTGTAATATACTTACATATCTATATTATTGCTAATATATATTGTAATATATCTATATCATGGCTAAAGCACTTCTGGATGGATGCAAACTGCATTTCGTTGCCCTGTACCTGTGCATGTGCAATGACAATAAAGTTGAATTCTATTCTATTCTATTCTATTAGTAAGCTCATAAATAGGTGTGAATTAAAAAGCTGCAGTGATGAGCAGACACACATTGAATACAAAGAAAAATCAAAACTGATGAGAATAACATGAGAAAACAAACCAGTACTAAGGCAGGACACAAACAGGAAAACAGGACAATAAACAGATGATAAAACAAAGACAAAAGCAGAGATGTGACTTTGGTTGTGGTCAAATAGTCATTTGTACTTAAGAGGGCTTCTGATTAAATCATCTGCTTGGCAGCCGTAATAAGAGTTGGTCAAATTCTCAAGTTGCAAAGAAAAGGTGCTTCAGTGCATGCTTCCTTACCTCCTTTAGCAGATGATACACTTCCCAACTCTAAGAAAATAAGGCCTTCCCAGGGTTCATAGCAGCACACCATTCAAACGTTCACAAACCAAAATGATCAACATACCTGACAAGTGAAACAGATCATGTAAATTACCGCCTGTGCCGTAATGATTTAATATGCCGATATGTTTTGAATCTTAACAGTTTGCCAAGCTCACTGTATAAATAAAGATAATTTTCCCTATTTCAAAGTTCAAAGAGAGGTGAATGTTGTTGTGTAACTCATTTTGCTGTGCTTTTGTTCTCATTTTCGGGGTTGCTGTACTTCCAGCTTTTGGGATTACCTTTAATTAGTTTCATGTCAGAGATTCTAAAAGCTTTAATAAAGGAAGCGTTTAAGTAGATGAGTGGACAACATGAGTGGACAGCATGGTGAGCCACATTTCTTATTCAAACCATTTTATTTCATTGTGACTGCAAAGTTTCTCACTTTTTCCCACTTGGTAATGGAAACATTATTCACATCAATGTCTAAGTTCATATAGCCTGCATAAAGAAAAATACTAAGAACAGATAAGGCTGTACTACTTCTGTAGTATCACCAGGGCTGACTCACATCACCCACCATATTAGTAAGCACCCTAATGAAAGTGGTGTGAGCTGTGTGGGCCACTTTTGAAGAGGTCGTCTTCACACAGGTACTTCACCTCAAAGCTTTTGACACTGAAGTCAAGGAAAAGTAATTAGAGATAAACATGTGAGGTAATTGTGTTGGTTATGTGACTGCAACCTGAAAGTACACCAAGCTGTAGATAATTAGAGGGGAGAAGTCGATAAAGAAGAAAAAGGAGGGAAAACACACTACTGCTCATTATTGCTAATATTTTATTAACCAATCACATGTCACCAACTCAATGCATTTATGCATGTAGACATGGTCACGATGACCTGAACAGGAAACTAAAGCCACAATTTTCACACGCTCACCAAAATTAGACAGAACTGAAGATTGGGAAAAGTGGTCTAATGAGTCTCGATTTCTTCTGCAATATTCAGATGGCAGGTTCATAATTTTTCTGCCTTGTATTAAAGGTTCAGGCTGGTGGTGGTGTAATAGTGTGAAGAATATATTTTTGGGCACACTTTGGATTCCTCAGTACCAAATGAGCATTGTTTAAATGCCATCCTACCTGAGTATTGTTGCTGATCATGTCCATCCCTTTTTGACCACTAAAATTATGTCAAATTGGTTTCTTGACCATGACAAGGAGTTTACTCCAGTGGCCTCAACCAATCCAAAAGGAGCAACTTTGAGATGTGATCTCATAAAATCTCCCAAAATCTCTGAGGAATGTTTTCAGCACCTTGTTGAATCTCTGCCATCAAGAACTAAAGGCAAAGGTAAAAGAGGGTCCACCCCAGTAGCAACAAGGTGTGATAAATAAAGTGTCCAGTGAGTGTAGACACAAACAAAGGCATTGCTGAGAAAGGATATATTTTAAATAAAAACAGGAACAGCAAGAAACTAACAGCTTTTATTAACACAAGAAATCACGTAGCGTCTGTACACCAAGTGTGTCTGTAAAGTACTGTTACGCAACAATACTGGTTAAAGATTTAAAGGTTTAATCTTCAACTTACAATCAACAGACCTTTTTGAACACAAAATGCCCACAGCCTGGAGTCAAGTGGTTGTAATTATACCAGTGGTGAGAAAATCAATATGATGGGCGAAACATTATTGAAGCAATAAGAGCTACCTCTCTTCTAGGTGTATGTTGTGCCTGTGACGGCTTGTCTGTGCCAGACTCACAGATTTCCTCCTAACACTGGCACACAGATTCACGTATTCATTATGTGTTAGTGTTTAACGCACGCCAGAGCCGGCTGCTGTAGCTAATGACTGCACAGTAATATTAATGTGGCATGACTAAGCTCTCCTGTGGTCATCGTACATGCAGAATCAACAGCTTTATTTCTGTTTGTTTGTGCATGTCTCTTGCATTAATTGCTGGTCTTCAACATGCCCACCCTGTCATCGGTGATTAATGTGGCAGCTCCGCACCTCACAATCAGCTAAACCATATTTATTTACTCCAATGCCAAATCAGAGCAGCAGTCAGGCTCTTGACAAATACGCACTGATGGAGAAGAGGCTGTTTAGAAATCAAATGGCAGATGTCAGTGCCAGTAAGGCCTTGATGCACAGCATGCTCCAAAGTGTGTTTTCAAAAGGCACAAGCATTGAAAATATTAGTGTCGTTGTAAATAACGCCTAATGTGAATGATATATGCGGGTAATTTTGCACTCAAACGCAGAGTTGGTAAAGCTTGAAAACCTCCGCTTTGAATCTCAGTGAAAAACCAAATTAAAAAGGGTCAGTGGCATCCACACCATCACTGTCACAATATCAGATTTTCACTTCATGATTATCAACTTCAGGATTAACAAGAAGAAGAATTTGGCTGCATGTGAATTTCATCTTTGACTTATGTTCACTGGTTTTTTTTGTTTCATTTTTGGCAAATAAAATGCACCAAAGTAAGATAATATTGAGGGGGAAATGTTATAATATTATGTCTAATATTATCATATACACTATAGCTCATGGCTGTATGACTGTACCTCAGGAGGTAAAGCAGGTCATCTGTTGGTGGTTCGATCCCTGGCTCCCACTAGTCTGCATGCCAAATATCCTTGATAAGATATTAACCCCAAGTTGCTCTCCAATGCATCCATCGGAGTATGAGTGTGAATGGTAGTTAGAAAGCACTTAAAAACATAGAAGACAGTAAATGGGTGAATGTGCCATGTTGTGTAGAGCTCTTTGAATACTCTGGGAGAGTAGAAAATATAAGAATCAGTCCATTTACCATTAAATAATACAGGGCTACACGTCTGAAACTTTGAATACAGTAAAGAACATAATAACAGCAGACTAGAAGCGAGCAGATGAGTGAAAACAGATCTTCCTTATTGAACTCATGCAAAAGCTTAATCAGTGTGGTTTTTAAGCCCAACCTCCATTATATGTGTCTATCTGACAACTGTGAGCAAGAAATTTCTCAAAAATGCCAGCTATAGCAAAAATGATACAAAATAATATATGTAAGATGTCAAATCTGTATTTCACTGTTTTACAAATCTTTTAGTAAATTTTATCAACAGCTCTCTCCAGTTTGGCATTTTCCCTGTTTCTTTTAAATGTGCTGTAATCACACTGTCACCCAATAAAACTTATATCTATTAGTAATTAATAATTGTACCATATCATAATCTAACTAAAGGCTTCATGACTCAGTAGGTTTAACAGGTCAGACACATTATTGCTTCTAATCGTATCTAAAGGGTCGAAGTTTTTTTATGTTTCAATTAGCAGTTTTAGATCCATTCAAATGCAAAATTCAATTGGGGGTTCCTCAAGGGTCAGTCCTTGGTCCATTACTGTTCAACTTTTACATGCTCCCACTTGGTACTGTCATAATATAGCCTCATATTCTTATAGCAATGACACGCAGTTGTACTTACCACTTCCCTCTTATGATCTAACCTCTGGTCATAAACCAATAAGCTGCATTGATGACTTGAAGTCCTGAATGTCTCAAAACTTTTTAGAACTGAACAGAGACAGGACAGAAATACTTGTGGTCCAAAATTTGTTCATATATATCATCCATTTCTCTAAAACACAGTGATCAAGTCACAAACCTTGGTGTCATTTTAAAAAGTGACCTCAGTTTTGATAACCACATCATTATAATTACCAGAACTGCTTTCTACAACTTAAAATGTATCTAAGATTAGAAAAATCTTCTCTAAAACTGACTCTGAGAAATTCGTTCATGCATTCAAATCAAGTAGGTTATATTATTGTGTGATGGACCGAGCAGTGAAGGAAACTTAGGCACAGGTTAAAGTCCAAAAAATGATTTTTTTATTTAACCCAAAAACCATAATTGGTTAACTCATGCAAAAAGAATCAAAACCTTGGGCCCATAAAAGAGGTCAAAATAACAAAACTCTACTCAAAGTTGACACCACTACTGATAACTCAAACAAACTGACCTAACTTAATGAGACAAAGGGGAAACTTAAATAGTGGCTGATCAGCCCACAAAAACAGGAGAAGGGGTAAAACACACAAAACCTAACTAAACCTAACATAATGAACTCCAATTCCCCCCCATGGTCCTGAGTTATGGCGTGAACCAATTTGTAGTCTTCCTTTAAAGCTCACTCCGCCCCTTTTCCACCTCTTGGCTCCTTAATCAAGGGACTGGAACAGCTGCAACTAAGGTAACTCAGAAAAGAAAAAATTAATCATACATAACAGTGTAAACTAAAATGTGCACACTTATTTTAGAATGCAGTGTTATGTGGATATGTGAATTAACTCTAAACCAAAACCAGTTATTTATTGTCCTGTAAATTAATTCTTATATTTAAAGAAAGAAATGTGAATGCAATGTTACTTATAAGCCTCTACACTAACATGGTGATATTACCACTGTGTGGCTGTAAGTGCAGCCATCACAATTGCAACGCTCTATTTGCAGGATTTCCCAAATGATCAACATCATCGACATCTTCAGCTTGTCCAAAATGCAGCAGCCAGAATCCTTATAGGTCACTGTTTTACCCGCAATTTACCTGCATTACCCCAGTAATGAAATGACTTCAATGGCTCTCAGCGCAATATAAAATGTTGATTAAATTGAGATCAACTAAATCTGTGTGTCAAACAGACTCCAAACCCTTCTATTCACAAAGGCCTACACTTAATATTTTTTGTTGTTGTTGTTTGTTATGTTTTGCAGTTTTCACTCCCTTAAGGCATTGTAAACTTTATTTTGGGAGGGAGGGGTCTTAATATTCATGTCTTAATATTTTGTATTAAGCAGATTTAGTTTTCATATAATGAAATGAGCTAAATAAATTAAAGTTGTCTTTGTTTTCTAGTGTATGGTTCTAGCTTTACAGGATTTATGGGAGAAACCCTGCTGACTTTATAATTGCAAGACATGCAAAATCACTGCCATCAGTCCAGGATTTACTCTCACTGTTGGCAATTTGTGATGACCTTCTTTTTTTACAGCTGGCACAAAACACAGTGAAACGAGGCACAGAAAGCTTAAAATGCCTGACATGACATGCAAAATGTCCCTAAAGTGATGGGCTGTCATTATAAAAGTGGCATTTCATGTTGGTTACATAATCACCAGGTGATAATTCAACTATTCAAAATTGCAGCAACAAAACACAAAACCTTTTACTCTTAGTAGATAAAACAAAAGACTTTCCACTCGCAGTTTAGTAAAGCAGGGCCCTGTTTTAACCTTAGTGGACATCAATGTTTGAAACAAGGATGCCAATGTGTATAAATGTAGGGAATGTGGAAACTGTTTAATACATTATGCAAGTTTTCACCTATTATACAACAACCCTCCCCACTAAGTCCACAATTTGCAAGCTATATGAGCAAGTAAATTTTAGATAATACAGGATCAGTGTGCAGCATATATAATCATATGTGCCTGCTAATAAAGATTTGCCACCATGCAAAAAAATGTGTGACTCATGTCTGAGTGATAATGTAATTTCCAAATTAGTGAAGCAGTTCCTGCGGCAAAGCTACTCTATTTAGATCACAGAGAGTCTTTCCTGTTGTGTTTACTATCTCAGAAACGATGATCTGCAAGTGGCTGCACAAGATGATGGATTTATCAACAACTTTCTCCGATTATGTTTGACAGTATTGTTGTATTTTTAATTAAAAGCTCAAAGCCGGATAATTCGTTCAGCTTTCACAGTCCATAGAGCGGAGTTGCACATTCAGGGTACAAATGCTCCTGTTTGTCTGTGAGATTTTTACCCTGAAACTTGTGTAAAGAGGTGTAGGGGTGTGATCACAATATTCTGAGAATGAGTCCATGAAAGTCAGAAGTCTTAACTGATTTTCATTTCACTATCACCAAAGCTACAATAATAGAAATTCAACAATGACCCCCTACATGAAATTTAGGTCAAGAAGAGGAAGAGAAGTTGTGTGTGTGCAAGAAGCACACCATCAGAGCACAACTTTCAGGGAGTAATATAGAAACCGCAGACCCACTACAAGCTGTCTGTGAGTGCATAAGAAGACGATCTTAAGGGTGAGACTGGCTAAATTACAATCAGCATTTTTGAATTTATAAAGCCTTTCTAAAAGATTTTCTGATCACATTCCAAACATCTGCTTTGTGAATGGATGGTTGCTTCTGTTTTAAGAACTGGGTTATTTTAAGTGATTTTATTGGCTCAGCCTACTTGACATTAAATTGTGTAGTAAGTAACTTATGGGCCTGTGACCTTAAATGAGTTTGATGCCCCTAAAGTTTACTGTCGATCTTCTTCATCGGGATTTCTGATTAGAATGTGTTTTTTGACCTGGCAGCAGTTGCATACAGTGCTGCCAGAGCAGCTTTTGCAAGGTCGTACTTATCTCAACACTTGAATTCAAAATCCTAAGCTGTCTAGACAGGTTAATTTTGTGAGTCACACTGCTGCCTGCTTTTAGTGCTATGTTCACAGCAAAAAGCTCTTTTGCTGGAGGCCTTTGTTTAAGGCAAATTGATTGCCAACCCCAACCTTCTACCTTTTTGTTATTCTGCCATGTAAAAATGCAGTTCCCTTGAGACAGCCTGAACTTGCACTTCCTGGACCACCTACATGATTTCTATCCAACTAATTATGTATGCAGAGGTCTAGAGGCAGCGGCTTCTTCAACTTTCTCACTGACAATCACTGCAATATGTATTGTTCTTATTATTGTGCAGATATCCTTGTTGAAGCAAAGTCTGGAGATGCAGCTGTCCCAGTCGCAGTCGTCGCTGCAGCAGCTACAGCACCAGTTCAGCCAGGAGAGGGAGCACCTGAGGATGCAGCTGGAGGAGCTGCAGACGGAGCATCAGAGGCGACAGCACCGTCTGCAGGAGGCCCACCGCTGCGCCATGCAGGACATGGAGCACACCAGGCAACGTGATTTGAAGGTAACATTAAAGTGACCCAAAAAGGCTGCTATAGAGCTTTTTTGTCAAAGGTTCATTTGGTTGGTTGCAGCTTTCCTAGTGGCGTCTTTGTGGTTCCCATTTGCTGTGGGATTCCCAAGTACTTGTAGCTGTCCTCAATTTCTGCAATATCGCCTTCTGGTAGTGCAATCCCCTTAGTTCTGACTACCTTGCCTCTCTTTGTTACCATCCGACCACACTTCCCCAGATCGACTGACATTCCAGTGTTGTTGCTGTAGATCCTCGTGGTGTGGATCAGTGAATCAGTGTCTCATTCACTCCTACATCTCATCCATGTAGAGGAGGTGGATGATGATGGCTCCATTCTGTAGCTGGTATCCGTAGCCAGTCTTGTCAGTGAGGTTCAGGCCTGTGCAGAACAGCAGTGGGGACAAAGCATCTCCTTGGTAGATCCTGCAGTTGATGGTGTCTTGTGCTATAGGCTTAAACTTGGCGCGACGCGGTGTTATTCGCCATATCCCCATTCAGTTCCTATCTATATCTATATCATCGATAGATAGGTCAAAAACAGAATAGAGAAGACATACATTTTGTGTGACTTTATCGGTCTCTCCCATTGTTGTGGAAGAACTTTGGTCCATTCTTCTTTCCAAGAAGTTTATAGGTGTTGAGGTTTACACGCTTTCATTTATACACAGCTCTTTTAAGGTCCCACCGCTGCAGGTTGAGCTCCCGCACTTGACCTGGCCATTGAAACACCTTGATTCCTTTACTTTTTGAGCCAATCTGTTATAGATTTTCTGCTGTGCTTGAATTGTCCTGTTGCATGAGTTTGGGCCAAGCTTGAGCTGTCACACAGGTAGCGTATACAGAGTTGTCTCAGTCAATGCTAAGTGTCCAAGTCCTGTGGCTGCAAAACAAGCCCATATCATCACCCCACTTTGGTCTTGTCTATCCAAAGCACTGAAGTCTTATAATTTGTTTAAATACAGCTTTCCAAGCTTAAGCCATGCTGCCAAGTTCTTTTTAGAGAGAAGAGGCTCCAAACAGGCCATACTTGTTCAGTCTTTTTCTAATTGTACTGTAGAGTCTGTGATGTAGCTCTTGGGTTTTTTGCTGTTTCTCTGACATTGGGGTGAATTTAGCACTGATTGAACAATTGTGGCATTTTGTTTACACAGCACCTGAAGCTCCAGTACAGCAAGGAGCAACATTTTCTGCTTTTAGAGATTTTCACACTTGCTGATAATCAATTTATCAAGTGCCTCTGATTAGCAGCTACTGGCTACTACTTGCCATCTTTATTTTTTTATAAAAGCAGTAAGAGTGTACTTAAGTTTTTAACAAGTACATAGAGTCCTCTGAAAACATTCTTTTTCTATGCCTGAAAGTTTTATCGATGGAAAGGAAATAAATCTAAAAATGTGTCATGAAGCAGTCTGACTGGCAAGATTTATACTGCAACACAGACTCGGGCCAAATCAGTACCATGAGCAGTAGACTGATCAGCCCAATAGACACATTTTGTTCATTGCAAATTACATGAAAATAATAGTTTATGTCCTATTTCAATCTTTTTGGATGGACAAGCTGCTAGACCTGCCACATTACAATCCCTTTGCACAACCCTGTGAAGACAAAGAGACCAATGATAACACACTGCAGAGCAAATAACTTTTTAATCGCTGCTGTTGTGTTTGCTGTTTGAAAGCTGAATTTGAAATTGATTTTGCTCCTGACAGAGAGTCTTTCCAGCTCAAATAGATCAATAGGCCTGCAGACAAATACAGAACTTCATACAAAATGTTGTTGGGAAGCGTGTACTGCTCTCGCTAATCAAAACAAAGGATGTGGGTGACATACGGAGAAATAAAACAGTAATTATAATAATACATCTCAGCGACCCTCGGGACCCCTACGTCTCTCTGCTCTGCATGGAGCATCAATCAGCAGTCATCAGTGAGCACTGTCCTCTGCACTCAATGTTCCCCAATCACCGAATACAGTGCATTATTATTTCTATTTAGTTCAAAAAGTGTGTTTTCTAAGACCACTGGGCCTTCTTCAGTTCTGAATTAGTTGGTTTATTATCTGGTTTATTAGCTCTAAGTGCTAAACCTTTAACCTAAATCTAAGCCTAAATTTAAACTTAATTCTAACTTTTACCCTAACTCAAACAGACTAACACAAGGGTGCTAAAAAGTGAGAGCTGGTCAAGATGTTCTACATGTTTTCATTTATCTGTCTTTGTTTTCCTGTGGCAGATGACTTTAGTGACTCAGTCATGTTCTTTGGATGAGTAATTCTCAACAAAACAGCAAATAACAATCTGCCCATTCTCCACAGCCACATTTTAATAGGACTGTTACACACACACATGTTCAGTGAGTGCATCCCTTCAGCTCACCACTTTATAAAAGAGTCGTTTTATGATTGCCTCTGTGTGACACCTCTCAATTATAGCTACAAAACTATCTAGGTTTATGTAGATTTCACTATGCCAGACAGGGTATTGCAAAAAGAAAAAAAGGATGGTGACATAGACAAGAGACCGAGGATGCAACACCATCAATCTCTGGGTGATCACTTTGCACAGGTCACGTGGTAGGATAGCTCTAAACAGTCATGGTCAGACCCAGACTGATGGCAGTCACTGACACAGACTAGCGAAGGTTTGTAAATACCTTACAATAACACAGAGAAGAACACAAAAATTTGCAAAATGTGAGCAAACACTTGGCAACAGTGGAAAGGAAAAGCTCCCTTTTAACAGGAAGAAATCTCCATCAGAACCAGGCTCAGGGAGGGGCAGCCATCTGCCTCGACCGGTTGTGGGTGAGGAGAGGAAGACGGAACAAAAGCACGCTGTGGAAGAGAGACAGAGGTTGTAGAAAATAGATACGAGTGGTTTAATTAACTCCATATGCAGCAGGAGTCCAAGACTACATCATTTTTACTCCTTAAAAAAACACCCGATGGGTTTTGCCATTACCCCCCCCCCCAGGCCGACAGTAGTCCTGCATTTCAGCATAATAAGAACTTTTAGTTTTTACATGTAAAATGTTGCATTCCTGAAAAGTTTCATGTAAATGGTTTAAACGACTACATGAACTGTGAGCTTACAGACTCCTGTTATCCTCTCAGCCAGTTAGAGATGCTCCTCAGGAGAAGTCTTACTTGACTTTTGAATGCAGTGGAGCCTTGTCAGAGTCAAGAGTAGAGTGGCAGTGACTTATCTCCATCATTACTCGCCCTGACTGACAGCAGACAGCCTCTGCATCAAGTAGCTCTACTGACAGCTCTGTGTTTCCTCTTTATAATGTCAAAAACATGCAAGTATAAACACAACATACCCTCTCCTCAAGGTGCCAAGAAAATGTTCTTCAGCACTAATCCGTCCATTTCACAGTCAAGGTCGATTTGGATCAGTTTTACATCACAATTCCAAATCCCGTCTCCGTCTTGGACGCTGTAATTGTATTAATACTTTAAGTAGAATGGAGGTCAGGAAGCAGCGTCCTTATGATGTCTTTCTGGCATTTCCCACAGTACACATTTGTATGAGACTGTGTGTGTGTGTGTGTGTGTGTGTGTGTGTGTGTGTGTGTGTGTGTGTGTGTGTGTGTGTGTGTGTGTGTGTGTAAATAATAGAAAACAGTGAGTCACACAGCTCTTATGAAATCGACAGTCTTCATTATTTCCCCGTAAACCGAACTGACTGCTGTAACAAACACGCTCCTCTCTGTTATCTTCATCTCCTCCTCCACTTGTTTCTCCTCTGATGCAAACGCACACAGCACTGGTACATATTTGCTCACTATACCCACAAAATTGACCACTTTTTTTGTTGCTCAGAGTACATCTTCCTCTGTCACAGATTTAGTTAATAAGCTGGGAAACCAAGTGTTAAAAGCTTTATGGAGGGCTTTTAAGGTGACGGGGTGTTTATGTTTCTGTCGGAGCGCAGGGAGAGAAAACTCAATTATCCCGTGTGGAGGCATTTGAAGGATGATTTGTGATTTGTGTGTGTGTGTGTGTGTGTGTGTGTGTGTGTGTGTGGTGTGTGTTGTGTGTTGTGTGTGTGGGTGGCGGGGTGGGGGGGGGGGGTTGTGATGAGAGGTACATTCATATTGTCTGGTGTTATCTCTTCACACTTCACAGGAAGTTATATCCAGGGAGTAATACATTTGTTCCAAATCCTTGCTGTATACGCACATACACACACATTCAAATAACCAAAGTTTGCTCCCAGACTCTCTGCAACAAAAAGCTGCAAATAGAAGCAGTGAATGAGCGTGAGGCAATTGACAGTATATGGAATTTCCTATCTTTTGTCTTAGTTATTTCTCCGATACTTACTTGCCTTCTTTTGTCTGCACGCTAAGGGGAAGAATGATTTCACCTTCAACAGTGGTGTTTTTTAAAAGGATGTGTAGATATTAATTCAAATAAATATTTAAAAAATTGCTGGCACCCACCATCCAGGCTGAAATATCACTGTCAGATGGATTGATGTTATTCGTTTTACTGACATAAATCCTTCCTGTTGATGCAGTCATGTAAAAAGGTTTTCACACAAGATATGAAGTCCTGAGAAAAGTAACACTAACTGCTTCAATAGGAATTTAGAGGGTTACATGTTAAACAGCCTCATTGGACTAGTCATGTGTCTCTAATCAAATGCACTTGATTGATTGATAATCAGCAAATGTGACCATCTCCGTAAAAGCAGAGGTTGTGACAGTCACAATCTTTCCAGCACTTTCAGCCCAAGTTTGGATCGTGTAGTGCATAGAGAAATAGCAAAAAATCCTAAAGCTACATCTCAGACTCAGACTTAAGCTGGTGTGTTAAATACTAAAGTTCATAATAAGCGTATCATTAGAAAAAGTCTGATCAACTATGACTTGTTTTAAAGGGTTGCCGGCAGAAGGCCTTGGACAGTATGGCTTAGGTTTGTATCTGAATAAACCACAAGACATCTGAACCAAAGCTCTTTGGATAGACACGACCAAGGTGGA